TAGGTGAAACCTTGTTGGGTCACGTCAAGTTTTACTCTGCTCCTAAAGATTTCAAAACTTACACATACGAATCCAATTCAACCAGTGGTGCCTGAGAGGAATGTCATGGGACATTGAAAGATTTTATTGATAGCATCACAGTTACTTTGACATAGATTATCGTCCAAAATATCTTGAATGCAAGCATAATCAGTAGGCGAAGACTGTTAACAGTTTACAAGGGAACGAAAATTATGCATTCGCTACCATTAGGAAGAATAATTTAAAATTCGATGAAAGCATCTCCTATTGAAGAACAACAAATTTGCACAGACCAAAGAATTTATGAAACAACAACGAAACGTTAGTTAACATTTAAAACGAATAAATATTTGAAACGAAACGAAACAAAAGATTTGAACACTGCAGATAAATGAACACATAAATAAACAAGTACTTCTTCAACCANCGTATATTCTCGACCGTATGAACGGCTGCTTCGTTCACGAATTCAATATCGCGTTCTTGATCTAATACCTGAATTTCAAACTTATATTTCATGTCAAGAATGAACACATTCGTCAAATTGCCAGCCTAATGAATTCATTAGACAATTGCATTTAATCACTTTTTAATCTCATCATTCCCACATCGATACGAAACCTCTTCGTAGTTGATTTGAAAAAGGAAGGAAAATATGGGGAGAGGTTACTATGAACTGATGATTTGTGAATAATTTCAACCCCATTCCATCAGAAATGATAATCTTGCTAATAATTTAGAAAATAAATGATTACTGGAACGTTGAATTGAAATGAATACATAACAATCCGCGATAAATTCGAACTCAGAGGGATAGCGATTTCAAGTGGATATTCATATGAGAATGAACGACAGCGTGGACAATTCTTCTAGACCATTGTAAGAATTCCATAAAACTCGAAAAATTCGAATACTTTTTCAGCGAAAGTCTCTTGCAATCGATGAATTTGATTCATCTGCTTTTCGATTCGCAGAACATCGCTATCAACTTGCGCTAATTTCGAATACAGTTTCTCATTTTCTGCCATCAATTGAACGTTTTCCTTTTCCGTCAGATGTTCAACAATATCGAGTTCCGCCGGTTTTTCGTCTTGATCCGATGCGATCAGCTTATATCCACCAACATGTTTTTCGGATGTACCCATTTGAGTTGGCTTTTCCGTATCAATTGATTCCTTTTCATCACCTGAAATACCATAATTTTTTCAATCCTATTGAGAAATTACCTCACATCGGTTGCGATCATCAACTAACAGTAAGTGCTTTATTCACTCTTTTGAAAGGTAATTTTCTATTGTAATTCATGAATATCAACTAAAGTTGAGTTCATTCGAATAACTTTGTCTTACTGATAACTCACCAATCAACAGATACCCTCGATTTTCAGAAATGGTCAACTGCATACAATCCTAAAGTCTCAGTTTCAGAAAGAATATCCAAATATCGAATTTCAACGAACCGAACAAGCTGAATTGCTGTCTCTACAAGCATTCGCTCAAGAAAAATGAATCTAACGAAACCTTTCGTGTGTTTACGTCGT